GATGTAATATTGTTTATCAAGCTTGATATATTAATATTAAAGTACTCCAGTACGGTACGGGGCAGACGTATGACCATTCAAAATTTCCGATATTCATTTTGACATATCATATCAATTATATGGTCTTATATTAATATATGCTTCGCAGGGTTCATAATGAACACCATTTTTTTGAACGCAAATATCATCAAATATTACTTACCGAGTCTGAAATATTACCGAATTCCGTTACGTCGAATGAGTTTACATATGTTGCACCAAAATTTTTGACAATCATTCTGTCAACATATCATATTGATTTTATAGCCTTACATTAATATACGCGGCGTTCACAACGAATACCATTCTTTGTACATAAATATCACCTAATATGATTTATCGAGGCTGAGATATTTCGGTTCCTGTACGTAGATTGAGGTTAACATATGATACTTCAAAGTTTTCGACATTCATTTTGTCAATATAACATATCGATTTTATGTCCGTATATTATTGTACGCATCGCGGGGTTTACAATTGAAACCATTCTTTTGTACATAAATGTTTTCAATTCAACATTATTTATCTAGGCTGAGATATTAAGGTGTTATGGTAAGCAGGAAGTTTATATATGACAAATTAAAACTTTGCACATTCATTCTGTCAATTTAACATATCGATTCTATGGTCTTACTTTATTCTGTGCATCGCGTGGTTCACAATGAACAACATTTTTTTGTACATAAATATAATCTAATATTATTTATCGAGCCTGAAGTTTTACGGAGTTTCAGTACATTGAATGACGTTGACATATATCCAATCAAAATTTACCGCATTCATCCTCTCAACATATCATATCAATTTTAATGTATACTATACTGCGCATGGCAGTGATCACAAATGACGCCAGTTAAATATTATCTAATTTTATTTATCGATACTAGAAGTTATAGGGGTTCCCGGTACGTTAAGTGCGGTTTTCATATTGCTCATAAAAATTTTCCTTCCATTCTGTCAATATATCATATTGAATTTATTGTATTTTATTTTTCCACGCATCATAGGGTACACGATGAACACAATATTGTACATAAATGTCATCTAATATTGTTTATTGAAACTGAAATATTACTGAGTTCCTGTTCATGGAATGAAGTTTACGTATAGTTATTAAAAATTTTCCACGTTCATTCTGTCAATTTATCACTTTTATTGTCTTATATTATTCTACGCACCACGGTGTCTACAATTATCTTCATTACTTAGTAAAGAAATATTGTATAATATTATTTATCGATTCTGAAGTATTACTGTGCTGCTGTAGCTCAATTGAGTTCTGCAGATAAAGGGATTTTATTGTCTGCAGACAAAGGACTTTATTTGGGCAATCAATGTTTTCTTCGGGGATATTTCTGCCTAGGTGTGACAGAGGATGCAGAAAAAGCTCCCCATAGTGAACGGTAAGGCAAAATACAGTTATAGAAAATTGCAGAGCTCGGAGAAGTCTCGTGCAGCTCTGCTATTTGCAAAACACCCACGCACATATACTTGCCCGAAGTCTACTCAAACCGCACAGTAAAAATTACAGTGCCGGCAGCATTACACTCGCAGATTTGTTATGCACAACATTATGCACTTATATGTACATGGCGAGTATAAGCTGGTGGCGTATACCCACAATAAAATAACAAATAAGGCCTGGCGCATTTTCATATACACTAAAAATTAACCGAACAAAGTAAATGAAGATAAAAAAGATAAAAATGTAAAAATAAAATAATGAAAATAAACGAAACTCTAAAAATAAACGAAACGCTAAAAATAAGATAGAAAATATAGATAACCTAGAATAAAATGCAAAATAAAAAGAAAATGAACTATAACGCTAAATAAAAGAAACACATAGAAAGTAAATAGTGTAGAATAAAATAAAATAAAATAAAGTACGTTGGAGAGAGTAAAAAGGAGTGATAACGGAAGTGGGTTAGAAAATGAAAAACAAAAGAATGGGAAGTCTCCCGCAGACATGAATACTAGAGCACGACTTTGCGGTGTCAGCGTAAATGTTGAGGGAAGAGTCCCTTTCGTTGCCACGCACGAACCTCCGATTAAACGCGTCGATGTGATCAGACCTATGGAGGCTTCTATTGCAATGAGTATCTGGTGAAACTTTAAGAATCATATAAAGGCCTTGTTTTCTATTGTACTGAAGGAGTGGATGTACTTACAGCGAGTCTATTGTAATGCAGGAGTGAAAGAGATGAGAGACGTGTAAAGAAAGATAGTAGGGAGTGAAGTTGCAACAGTTCCCGCCGAGGTGCAGACACATGCATTAGTTGACCTTCCTGGTTACTGGTTGCTAATTGCTAATTGCCAGTGTGTGACTACGCTCTCGTGGCGTCGGAGACGTGTTCATTAGTGCTGACGGTATTGTTCGCGAGCTCACTATCGCGCGCAGATGCATTTGCGTGCCTGACCGTGGGGGGCGTTGCGTCTTTCGCGGCTGACCCCACACGCTCTACTCTCGGATTACAGAGATATGCTCGACATACATGTCGGGGCAAAACGATAGTCTCCGATACTACCAGTTTTCCCATCAAGACATCATACCATGTTTACATTCTCGTTACTGGTGTCAGGCACCCATGGCGACCACGACGGAGCCGTCTACATGCACAATGTAACCGCTCCCAAGTATCGCGTCTGTGAGGGGCTGGTACTATGCGATTTTCGCATTCTTGAGTGCTTGGAAGTCGTTTTCGAAGGGCACGTTCACATCCACAATGACGCCAGTCTCGTATGTCGCGACAATCCTGGGACGTACAGCCGCGAGACTCCCGCCGACACCCGGGACATACTGTTTACCACGCCTTTTTCCGAGGAGCCTGGAGGTCGCGGCATGTCTCTTGACAACTGCGTTGTGGCGCAATTGCACAGTGACTGCGTGGGAGCCGCAGTGGCAGTGCATGTGGGGCAACGTCTCCGACTGGTAACCCGCATCGCTGGCATCTCTGGTCGTCGTCGCCCAATCGACGAGACCCATTTAAGGGGAGCACATCGAGGCGCGCGCGATGCACAAAGCACCAGTCGGCGAAACTGATGTACTGATCCGTCGGTATGAAGCGATTGTTCGCTCCATCGCGTCGAAGACTTTGTTCTGGTCCGGTTTTGCGTTAAGCGCGGACGTATTGTGTTCCACCACTACGGCCCTCAATCGGGTAATGACCTGCCGCTTGGCGGCCGGATGTATGGTTACTCTCCGACCGTCGCGTGCTGTGCACATCAGCTACAAGACATATCAAACCGGGAAATCCATCTCCACTGGAATTCAAACAGACTCGCGCACTTCAGGGCATCCGATCTAACTAGCGACCAAAACGAAACGTGACTGAAAGACGGCAACGAGAGTTCCCCATCGAACGATCCCAAAAGATACCTAGCGATGTCTCCTCGTTCGGCGTACGCCGGATCTCCAAGCGGATGGCAATTTCTAAAGTCGACCTTGCAACGCGTGCGACCGCCGGGTTATTTGCGTTGAGAATTTTGAATGCGTGGGCCACGGTGGTAACATCCGCGAGGTCCGCCAACGGAGGGATCACGCATCCACCCCAAGAGGGGAGCAGCAAGTCCACCTCTGCGATGGTACATTGCACTTTTCGCTTTACAATCCGTTCTGTCTCCAGTAGAGGCGACTTCTGAAAGGCTCCACGCCTCAGCAAGAAGTCGAGATGCGGTAGCAAAAACGCCGCTACGGTCACGATCTTCTGCCAGTGGATGAGCAAAGACGAGCTGACAGAACCGAGATCGGCGATCAGGAACCCTATGACGCTGTATGGTCTTTGATCGGTGACAAATCTCGTTGGGATTCCTAGGTAGACGTAGAAGCCCCTTGCTCGACAACGAGCAGGTACTAGGCACGAGTTGAAAATCCTTCGGGATTCACCCTTGGCTCCAAGGTGCAAATTTGCCCACTTTCGGAGGTTGAAGGAGAGTTCCAACGCCCTTAGGGAATACTCGGCTGCTTCCAAAAGTCGCCCCATGCTGCAGAGGTCAGCAGCGACACTATTTCTTCCGTGTAGGCAGGTAACGTGATCCTTTCGCAGAACACGCCGAATTAATGGCCTCGCGGACCAGTAGGTCGATCAGTATCATGCTCAAGGGGCAGCCCTTCCTCACCTCCGACAGAATGGGGATAGAGTCCGTATATCATTCGCGAATCCGCACAGGTTCTCCACAATATTGATGACCCTTGTGTGTACGGCGGAATCGACGATTGTCGCATTATTGTCGCATGGGAGACAAAGCCCAACGCGTTCGCAAAGTTCAGCCACGCTTCCTCTGACAAAGAGCGCATTCAAATACACATTGCATAATGAAAGTGTGCTCGAAGGCTACCCCTCAAACAGTAGGAAGCCCTTTTGGGCTGGACGTAAATGGTCGTTGACGGAAGTCCAGCGTGTCAGCCAGCACAGCGGCGAACAACTTAACAACTATATCGCCCATCTCAGTAGGGCTTGTTGCTCAGGTCATCACGCCAACACTTCTTGTGTAAGTACTCCGTAGGTTTGTAAAAGGCTATAAAGTCGATATGATGTATGGATTGAATGATTGTGGAAAAATTTGAAGCGAAACATATAAACCTCATTCCACTTCCTAGACCATCGTAATATTTCGGCCTCCATAAATAATATTAGGTAATTTTTATGTCAAAGAGAATGATGTTCATTGTGAACTCCGGGATGTGCAGAATAATATATGGCTATAAAATTAATAAGGTATATTGACAGAAAGAATGTGGAAAATGTTGAATGGTCATATGTAAAAATCATTCCACGGTACTCCGTAAACATTCAGAAACGATAAATAGTATTAGATGTTATTTATTCACAATAATGATATCCATGATGAACCTCGCAATGAGTAGAATTACATAAGGCCAAAAATCTGTATGATGTATTGACAGAAAGAACGTATTTTGAATCGCCGTATGTAATCCGTCACAAATCTGATTACCGTAATGTATTCGTTTCGATAAATAACAATAGATAATATTTGTATTCAATATAATAGCGTACACAGCGATCCCCGTGATCCATAGAATAGGATAAGGCAATTAGATCG